GAGGCGCGCTCTGGCTCCAGACACTTTGGGAGAAGTAGGCGGAGCTTTGGAGTCCCCGAAAGTGAGAAGGATGTGCAAGGATGCTAGACATTCCCAGACTCAGAACTGAGAAAGCATTAATTATGATAAATAAGAAGAACGACAGCGATTCAACAATACACTGTTCTAGCGCCGAGCCTGCAAAACGTGCTATGACTGAAACATGCGTACCTGCGACGCCAAACCCGGTGGACCCACCGCAGCCTGGTCGAGGAAACATGAGGACCCCGCATCTGCTAAGACTCGAAATCCAAGGCCGCAGCTGAGGATGCTTCCGAGTTGTTCGAGACCAGGTCTTGCTCTATGAGCCGCACGGCCTCCAAGGTATTCATAGTGCAGCAGCCCTTGTTTGCGCCATTTTGCGAAAGTTGTCAAAAGACGACGCAGCAAGTGAGGGCGCGAGCACGTGCGAGCTTCAGATCATATCCCCAACGCGGCCCCATCTACCCACCCGAAAGCGCCACACGCCCACGCGAGTCCTGCAAAGATGTCACATGCTGCTGCTGCTTAGATACAATCTACAAGGTGCAATACATTACAATACAACCATTGGGACCTGACTGTATGATTGCAACTTGGGCTATGCTGTGTCTGAAGCGCCTGCCTGCGCACCCAGACCGGGCGGATCCTCCACATCCTCGCTGGGAAACATGAGAACCCCGCACCTTCCCGAAGACTCCGAGTCATCTCAAGCCCTGGCTGGGGCCGCAGCTGAGTTGGCACGCGCCAGGCCCTCCTCCATGAAGCGAGCGGCCTCCCATGAATTCCAGGGAGCAGTCAGTATACAACATCCGAGCCTCCGCCTACGGCGCAATCACATCTCAACTCACAGCGTGGCTTTCGCAGCTTTTGCATTATCTCCGCTTGTCCCAGCCCGTGGCACAGCAGCCCTGGCTTGCACGAACCGGGCAGGCCAGCGCAACCCACGAATCAGCAGGTGGGTGCAGCGAGTCACACAAACATCGCAAACACCTCACTCGGACTTGTCCCCTGCTGCTGGCTTCGTGAAGCGTCCAACTCCCAGACCTGAAACTTCACTTAGGCAGCCGAAGCCACGTGGTCGTTGCCGTCAAGCCACACACTGCACCACATCTTCTGCTGCAAAGGCACGATGCGCCGGCACTATGAGGCTTTGTCCGGGTCGCGGAAGTTTAAACAGCCCCTCTCCATGACAATTCCCACCCAACTGCATCAAGTTTCTTGTCCTGGACTACCAGGTTCGGTTTGCGATGAAGCTCTAGGAAGAATATGGCCAGGGAAAGCCCAGAAACCGGAGGGCCACCCAGATTGAACGAATGCGACCGCAAGACGTGTTGTGTCTGAAGTGCTGAACTGCGTACCTGCGACGCCAAACCCGGTGGACCCACCGCAGCCTGGTCGAGGAAACATGAGGACCCCGCATCTGCTAAGACTCGAAATCCAAGGCCGCAGCTGAGGATGCTTCCGAGTTGTTCGAGACCAGGTCTTGCTCTATGAGCCGCACGGCCTCCAAGGTATTCATAGTGCAGCAGCCCTTGTTTGCGCCATTTTGCGAAAGTTGTCAAAAGACGACGCAGCAAGTGAGGGCGCGCGAGCACGTGCGAGCTTCAGATCATATCCCCAACGCGGCCCCATCTACCCACCCGAAAGCGCCACACGCCCACGCGAGTCCTGCAAAGATGTCACATGCTGCTGCTGCTTAGATACAATCTACAAGGTGCAATACATTACAATACAACCATTGGGACCTGACTGTATGATTGCAACTTGGGCTATGCTGTGTCTGAAGCGCCTGCCTGCGCACCCAGACCGGGCGGATCCTCCACATCCTCGCTGGGAAACATGAGAACCCCGCACCTTCCCGAAGACTCCGAGTCATCCCAAGCCCTGGCTGGGGCCGCAGCTGAGTTGGCACGCGCGACACCCTCCTCCATGAAGCGAACGGCGTCCTATGAATGCCGTCAAGCCACACACTGCACCACATCTTCTTCTGCAAAGGCACGATGCGCCGGCACTATGGGGCTTTGTCCGGGTCGCGGAAGTTTAAACAGCCCCTCTCCATGACAATTCCCACCCAACTGCATCAAGTTTCTTGTCCTGGACTACCAGGTTCGGTTTGCGATGAAGCTCTAGGAAGAATATGGCCAGGGAAAGCCCAGAAACCGGAGGGCCACCCAGATTGAACGAATGCGACCGCAAGACGTGTTGTGTCTGAAGTGCTGAACTGCGTACCTGCGACGCCAAACCCGGTGGACCCACCGCAGCCTGGTCGAGGAAACATGAGGACCCCGCATCTGCTAAGACTCGAAATCCAAGGCCGCAGCTGAGGATGCTTCCGAGTTGTTCGAGACCAGGTCTTGCTCTATGAGCCGCACGGCCTCCAAGGTATTCATAGTGCAACAGCCCTTGTTTGCGCCATTTTGCGAAAGTTGTCAAAAGACGACGCAGCAAGTGAGGGCGCGCGAGCACGTGCGAGCTTCAGATCATATCCCCAACACGGCCCCATCTACCCACCCGAAAGCGCCACACGCCCACGCGAGTCCTGCAAAGATGTCACATGCTGCTGCTGCTTAGATACAATCTACAAGGTGCAATACATTACAATACAACCATTGGGACCTGACTGTATGATTGCAACTTGGGCTATGCTGTGTCTGAAGCGCTTGCCTGCGCACCCAGACCGGGCGGATCCTCCACATCCTCGCTGGGAAACATGAGAACCCCGCACCTTCCCGAAGACTCCGAGTCATCCCAAGCCCTGGCTGGGGCCGCAGCTGAGTTGGCACGCGCGACACCCTCCTCCATGAAGCGAGCGGCCTCCCATGAATTCCAGGGAGCAGTCAGTATACAACATCCGAGCCTCCGCCTACGGCGCAATCCCATCTCAACTCACAGCGTGGCTTTCGCAGCTTTTGCATTATCTCCGCTTGTCCCAGCCCGTGGTACAGCAGCCCTGGCTTGCACGAACCGGGCAGGCCAGCGCAACCCACGAATCAGCAGGTGGGTGCAGCGAGTCACACAAACATCGCAAACACCTCACTCGGACTTGTCCCCTGCTGCTGGCTTCGTGAAGCGTCCAACTCCCAGAACTGAAACTTCACTTAGGCAGCCGAAGCCACGTGGTCGTTGCCGTCAAGCCACACACTGCACCACATCTTCTGCTGCAAAGGCACGATGCGCCGGCACTATGAGGCTTTGTCCGGGTCGCGGAAGTTTAAACAGCCCCTCTCCATGACAATTCCCACCCAACTGCATCAAGTTTCTTGTCCTGGACTACCAGGTTCGGTTTGCGATGAAGCTCTAGGAAGAATATGGCCAGGGAAAGCCCAGAAACCGGAGGGCCACCCAGATTGAACGAATGCGACCGCAAGACGTGTTGTGTCTGAAGTGCTGAACTGCGTACCTGCGACGCCAAACCCGGTGGACCCACCGCAGCCTGGTCGAGGAAACATGAGGACCCCGCATCTGCTAAGACTCGAAATCCAAGGCCGCAGCTGAGGATGCTTCCGAGTTGTTCGAGACCAGGTCTTGCTCTATGAGCCGCACGGCCTCCAAGGTATTCATAGTGCAGCAGCCCTTGTTTGCGCCATTTTGCGAAAGTTGTCAAAAGACGACGCAGCAAGTGAGGGCGCGCGAGCACGTGCGAGCTTCAGATCATATCCCCAACACGGCCCCATCTACCCACCCGAAAGCGCCACACGCCCACGCGAGTCCTGCAAAGATGTCACATGCTGCTGCTGCTTAGATACAATCTACAAGGTGCAATACATTACAATACAACCATTGGACCTGACTGTATGATTGCAACTTGGGCTATGCTGTGTCTGAAGCGCCTGCCTGCGCAACCAGACCGGGCGGATCCTCCACATCCTCGCTGGGAAACATGAGAACCCCGCACCTTCCCAAAGACTCCGAGTCATCCCAAGCCCTGGCTGGGGCCGCAGCTGAGTTGGCACGCGCGACACCCTCCTCCATGAAGCGAACGGCGTCCTATGAATGCCGTCAAGCCACACACTGCACCACATCTTCTTCTGCAAAGGCACGATGCGCCGGCACTATGGGGCTTTGTCTGGGTCGCGGAAGTTTAAACAGCTCCTCTCCATGACAGTTCCCACCCAACTGCATCAAGTTTCTTGTCCTGGACTACCAGGTTCGGTTTGCGATGAAGCTCTAGGAAGAATATGGCCAGGGAAAGCCCAGAAACCGGAGGGCCACCCAGATTGAACGAATGCGACCGCAAGACGTGTTGTGTCTGAAGTGCTGAACTGCGTACCTGCGACGCCAAACCCGGTGGACCCACCGCAGCCTGGTCGAGGAAACATGAGGACCCCGCATCTGCTAAGACTCGAAATCCAAGGCCGCAGCTGAGGATGCTTCCGAGTTGTTCGAGACCAGGTCTTGCTCTATGAGCCGCACGGCCTCCAAGGTATTCATAGTGCAGCAGCCCTTGTTTGCGCCATTTTGCGAAAGTTGTCAAAAGACGACGCAGCAAGTGAGGGCGCGCGAGCACGTGCGAGCTTCAGATCATATCCCCAACGCGGCCCCATCTACCCACCCGAAAGCGCCACACGCCCACGCGAGTCCTGCAAAGATGTCACATGCTGCTGCTGCTTAGATACAATCTACAAGGTGCAATACATTACAATACAACCATTGGGACCTGACTGTATGATTGCAACTTGGGCTATGCTGTGTCTGAAGCGCCTGCCTGCGCACCCAGACCGGGCGGATCCTCCACATCCTCGCTGGGAAACATGAGAACCCCGCACCTTCCCGAAGACTCCGAGTCATCCCAAGCCCTGGCTGGGGCCGCAGCTGAGTTGGCACGCGCGACACCCTCCTCCATGAAGCGAACGGCGTCCTATGAATGCCGTCAAGCCACACACTGCACCACATCTTCTTCTGCAAAGGCACGATGCGCCGGCACTATGGGGCTTTGTCCGGGTCGCGGAAGTTTAAACAGCCCCTCTCCATGACAATTC